CTAAAGCATCTTAAAGGAGTGTTCATTGAGCCAATATTACGGCTTTTATTCATGGCGAAACAAGTCATACAAATGTGAAGAGATGTTTAAATGTTCATTGTATGAGCTTGGTTTTACAGATCTCAGATGGTCATTTGTATAGAGAGTGAAGGTTAATTTCTTATTCATGGGGCCACCGCAATAAACCGCCAGATCCTAAATGTTCCCTCTCTCTACTCCTCCTTTTTTTTTTTTTTTTTTCAAAAGGGGGAAAAAAACGAATGGCAGACATTTTGGTATAGAAGAAGGGACTGCCGTTGTTAAATCAGAGTCAGAGATCACCTGATTTTTTTTCTGACCGTTACTGTCCTGTCATCTGTCTGACCTTTACACATCCGAGTGTCCAGCCCTGTGCTGTCATCTGTCTGACCTTACGCACTGAAAATAAAAATGGCAGTCTAGGAATATGGAAAGGTTAACTGCTGACTCAAGTCATTCTCTGTGCCACCAAGTCTCATCTGATGGTAGATGCTCTGTAACCTCTCTTTTCTCTCCCGTTCATTGAAGGACACAGGCAATGAACGGAGAGAAAAGGATTTTATGGTGAGTACAAAATCCTATTTTTCTTGCAGTCAGGCTGATTTGCTAAAGGAGTGGAGAATCTTAACTCCATTTATTCACTTCAATTATCCCGTCTTGTTTTCATCAGCACATGATTTGGGTAGTCAAGTTCTGAGTGAAGATTCTCAACTCTTTAAATCCACCTTTTGAGTCCGTAGTCTGAAGTGCTGTTACCGTCATTCTCACATATTTGTAAGGGGGGGAAGTGGCATAAATGGTGTTGCAGAGGAAGTATGACTTAACAAGCTTTGGCCTCTGCATTTCACGGCTTCATTACTTATAAAAGATATGTTGCCTCCAGCTGTGATCAAGTCATGACTGTGTGTCCTTGGTGACTTGTTGGTAGAACAAAGGCGTGTGCCTCCCCATCTAACATTAACCTTTTTATAGATAAGGCTGTAGGTAAATAGTGTGTTTGCAAAGCATTGGGTGTTACCCAGGCATTGGTGCTTGGTACATATCACAGTACCAGATGTATGTGTCATAAGCTATAAGGTTTTATCTTTCTTGGTGGCTTTTGACAATTTTTATACTTGTGTGAACCCAAAATATTTTTAGTCCTATTTTCTATTTTTTTTTTGTTAGGTTTTCCTTCTACAATACATACATGGTTTTCCGTCTACAATACATACATGGTTTTCCTTCTACAATACATACATGGTTTTCCTTCTACAATACATACATGGTTTTCCTTCTACAATACATACATGGTTTTCGGGATATCCTCTTGTCCCTGATTTTGTTCCAGGTAGTAAAGTAATCCCCACTCCTACAGGTCTGGGTTTCCTTGGAATGGACATCTGTAGCTTGGTGGTAAAAAACAAAACTGATCCCCCTGGGGAACTATTTTCACTTGACAAAAGATCACCATGGAATCTAAAAAGATGCCCAATAGGCGGTTGTTTCATGCTGATTTCATGTTTTCTGAGCTCTTCTTTTTTTTTTTTTTTTTCTGTACACCATCACACGTGTTTGGTTTGAACAGGTTATATAAAAAAAACAATTGTTTGGTGTGCAGCAAAAGAAAATGCAACAGACCTGGAGAGAATTTTTCACTACAGCACAACTGAATGGCTCCTTGTAAAGGAGTATAGGGACAGGAGGAGAGAGTGACTGATAGACCAATGAGCTTATTTGGTCTCTTCACTGTCCAGTAACAGGTTGGGGGAAGGATGAGACCCGTGTTGATTTTAGCATTGGAAAACAGGACTGTGCTTTGCCACAGAACGTATAAATCCCAGAACTGGATGGACAGAAGTACAAATCCTTTGGCAGATAAAATGGCTCGTGTAGTGTTTGAAGACCAAGACTTTAAGGGCCCAAGCACTAAATATTTGTACCATATTTTAGGTCAGCTTTTTTTTTTTTTTTTTACTTTACCACTCCATAACCTTTTATTCTTTAGGATCTTCATGAAAACATTACCACCGAAAGCTGAAGTTTCCACCCAGAACTGATCGTTTTGGGGTTTTCTGGTCACCAGCAACTCAAATGACTTTCTTCCCTGGTGCCCAACCTTTTGATTTTTAGAAACCAAAAAAAAACCAATCCTGCTGGTTCTGGGATTGAGCAGGCTGGCTCCTGAATTCCATATTCATTTGTCCACCCCCGCGCTATAGTAGTAATTTAGAGTGTCATACAAAATTCATGGGGTTGGGTTACCATTGGTCACATTTGTATTTGCAGTTCCAGTGTACAGTTATTACTGCATCCTCGTCCAGAGAAAACTGTTGCTAAACGTTCCTCCCCCACAGACTTCCAGATGTGTATTAAAGGCTGACCTGTGGGCTGATATCATTCCACGGTATGACTCTCTGGGGTTTATGAACATTTCTACCAACTGAGCACTGGTAACATTCCAACAACACATGGAATGTTTATACTGATGTTATACTTGCAGACAACGTTTTAAAGCAACTTTATAATTGTATCATTTTATAGGTGATCAGTTGGTGTAGCCCAAGGGAAATTTGTGGAACATCCACATAGACCTTCGCCTAAGGTGGTCAATCCCAGGGGGAAGCGCTATATCTCAGGCTCGCTGAAATCAACCCCACAATCCAGAATTGCACGGATTGGTTCGTGGTCACCATGACAGCCAAACAAATGGTGTAATAACCTTTGTGCCATAAGCCAAATAAAGTTTTTATAAGGACCACAAAAAGCAAAATATATTCAAAATGAGGCAAAACTATATGTGCCTGTCAATAGCCTGCAGAAAAATGTCATCCAGCAGCCCTTTGTGACCAGCAGCAGGCCAGCATGAGTGGCAGACCAGCTGAAAGCTGTACCAGCCTAGTCCTGTTACTGCAAGGTATTAATGAAAGGAATCGCCAGCACTCGCAGGATGCTAAATTCTACAGTGTTATTCAGCATGCGTCACGGGGGCCACGTAGGATCCCTTGTTTAGGGTAACAGTCGCTTTCCCTGAGGAAGGGCCCTGCACGGACACATGTTCAATAAAAATGAACATGAATTTTGCATATTGTGAAAACGCGTCGCCATCCGTGTTTATCACTTCGAGCACTGCGATTTAGAAAGAGAGGTCTACATCGCCGTATGGAGTGCAGGTGACCCCACACCACTAAGGCCCCATTTACACTGAGCGACATGGAAAATCGCGTGACTTTGAGCGACTTCTTCCTATTGGGCTGTATGCAATCAGGAGCAATATCGCTCAAAATCGCTCAAAAAGGGTCATGTAGGAGCGACAAGCTACCAGCGACGAGCTACAAGCGATATTGAGCGACGAGATGTGAACAGCTCCATTGAAATGTATTGGTGACGCTACATAGAGCAATATCGCGCGGAAATATGAGCGATATTGCTGCAAAAATCGTGCGATAAATCGCTCAATGTGAACGGGGCCTTACTGTTACTGCAGGGACCTGTGCTTTGCGAACATTTTGGGAAGCTCTGAGCGGCACCACATACAAGCGATCAGGCAGTTCTACAGCTGCCCGAAAGCTCGTATGTAAACAGCCATTGACGTTTTAAAATGTCCCTGAATTTATACACAACGGCTGGACGGGAAGCGGTTAAGGGGCAGCTTTATGTAGCGGTGGATGTGACTTTCACCAAATGTTCATTGGTGATGAATCTGTCATTTAAAACGCATGCACCAGGAAGAGTTACCTGGAAGAGTTACCTGCAGTGCATGTTTGACTCATTGTTTTATAAATGCACTCCAAGGTAAAGAGTGCATTAAAAAATGATTTCTTTATTTAGCAGGTTATACTAAAATACGTAAGCAGGGCACTTTTAAAGCAGTGTAGCAAATAAAATCCTTTTGTTTCAACTAGGTGGGCAAATTGGTCATAGTTCAATTAACCGATGCTGCTAAAATGAGTTGTTTCAATTTCTGGACATGAAAGGTTAAAAGCTGATTGCAAATGGTTGCAACATGTCAAACACTTGAGTGCTATTAAATGTACATTTGTGTTCCTCTTCTGAACTTATCAGTACAGGTACACAAATGTGATCTTGTTACAATGACTCACAGGAAGGGGGGGTCAGCTGCTTTACAATGTGACCCCAGTGTTAGACTGAGTTTCCTATGGAGGAACTTTTTGTAGGACTCGGCCTACTAAAAATAGAGGAACTTAAGGCCCCGTTCACACCTGAGCGTTTTACCGCGCGTTCCTACGCTCGGTAAAACGCGCAACAGGTGAAAACCCATGTTTGCCTATGGGCCTGGTTCTCACCTGCGCGTTTTACCGCCCGTTCGATCGCGTGGTAAAACGCCATACGCCCAAAGAAGTGCATGAGCTTCTTTGGAGCGCATTAATGCCCGTATCCCGCTGTTATCAGCCGGATACCCCCTCGGAAACTTGCGTTTGACATGTGTTTCTTTTACCGCAAATCGCTTTAAAACCGTGCGGTAAGAAACGCGAGTTTCCAATACGCGAAGGTGTGAACCCAGTGTTAAGGTGAGACCTAGTTATATGCTCCAAAGATGAATTTTGCATTTTTAAATGAGTCTACCTTCGGTTGAACTAATTACCCCCCAGGAGAGAGTGGCAGGTGACTGTTTTTATGAATGTACTCTCCTGTAGCTAGGTGGAGCTGGATAGCAAATGCCATGGATTTTCGTTATCAGGGTAGTACATTTCCCCACTCACCTGCTTGAGCTGCACTATGGCTGGTACACAAATACCGTTCATGCAGAAATTGAAGCTGCTTCAAGGGTACACAAACAATTGTGCACGTCTTCCAGTATGGGAAATGGCTACAACAAAAATGTAAAATGGTACAATGTTACTTTGAGATGAACGTTGCCATAATGCACAATGTGAAGGAGTGCGCACTGGAAATGCAATAAGCACATAGGCTGAACTGTTGGAGTATTGCACTGTGCCTTTTTATATTGTTTTACTATATTTTTGTCTTTTGTTCCTCAGATCTGTGGAGTTGCTCTCATAGGATTGGGCATCTACGTGCAGATTTATCTCAACGAAACGCTGGCAATTAAAAGTGCCTCAGCATCAGGAGCTCCTATTGTTCTTATCGCAGTCGGGGTCGTCATCTTCTTCATTTCATTCTTTGGATGCTGTGGAGCTGCCAAGGAGAACTATTGCATGGTGACCACGGTGAGATAATGTGCCATGTAAGTTTAATGTTCTCCTCTTCAATGCAATTTGTGTTCTAATATATTGTTTTGTTTTACTCTTCCATTACCAGTTTGCTGTCCTTCTGGTTTTAGTCTTCCTGGTTGAAATAGCTGCTGCAATTGCCGGATATGTTTTCCGCAATAAGGTAAGCCGTATATTAACACAGAATATTTACTCTGTGGTTGCTAATTTAGAGTTCAACAAATCCCAGGAACCAGCGTGTGTGTACCACAGTCTCTTCTGTTGTCAGAGGGAGCACATGCTCATTAAAATGCCCGCTGGGTTCCAGAATGGAATTACTGGCTCTAGAGTTCTTTGGTATATTTGCTGTGGAATTTTAGAGCAAGTTCAGAGCTGGCCCATGTCTTCATCCTCTTTCGTTTTATATTGTAGGTCCAAGATGTCTACAGAGACACCTTCAAAGATAGCATGAGCAAATACAACAGTACGAAACAAGCAAAGGACAAAATAGATGAGGTTCAGAAAGCTGTGAGTATTTCAACTCCCAAAGCATCATTCACATTTGATGGCCTATGTACTAAAAATTCTGTCTAGCCTGGAATTGATCTCTCCTTCATAGGTTGTATTGGTGGTTCTGTGCAGTGTTGCCTTATGCTGCAAAAGTTTTAAACACTATTTACTTGTCTGCTCTCTAAAAGAATTGATGTCAAACCTATCTGTTGTAATTGTACATCTATAGGGTACACTAAAGATTTTAGCTTGAGTCACCTGTGTAGAACCTGTCACTTCTGATCATGGAGTGTACAATTCATCTGCTCCTTGCCACAGTAAATCCAGAACAGCACCTCTGGCTATAAAACTATTTTAATGTATTGTCTAGTAAAATCAGTTGTAAAAGTTTTAATAGCATTGTACAACCTTCCTCTTGGCACCCAGAAGCTAAGTGGCAGCGTGCCTCCACCAAGGTTTGGAGGTGCATCTTAGGGGCAGGTGTATTTTAAAAGCCAGTAAACCATCCAGTGTGATATATGGAAGCTTAGTTGTTGTTTTTTTTTTTTG